GGGCTTCAAACTCTCTCTCTGCCACGTCAGCTTTAACTTACACCAAAAATTCACTGGAAATGGTTTTGAAGCCCCGGGGCTTCAAACTGGGGCTTCAAACCTTCTTTTTTTACATTTTTAAATATACATCTCCTAAATTTAAATTAATAAATTTAAATTAATTTATTATTTAATTATATTGAAACACAAATACAAAAAAATAAATTCATTAAATTTAAAGAAATTGAAACGACCATAATTTAAAATTTAAAAAATTACATTCATTAAAATAAAAAAACGAAAATAATAAAAAGATACATTAATAAAAAAACTAAGGTAAATTATATTTCGCCTTGATCTCTCTTTATCTTTGCTCGTAGATCATCCGTTTGAAACCCGACAACGTAGAAAGTTCGGTTTCCATGATTTTGAATAAAAAAATTACATTCATTAAATAAAAAAATTAAATTCATTATTAAAAAAACTACATTAATTAAATAAAAACATTACATTCATTAAATAAAAAAATTACATTCATGAAAAAATAAATAAAACACTTGAATAATAATTTTTTTAAAAAAAGATGATAGATAGAGAGAAATTTGTATTTGTGTTGAATTTTTTTAAAAAAATTAAATTTAATTTATAGAGAAGAAAAGAGGAAAAAAGAGGGAGAAAAAGGGAAGAAGAAGGTGTGACAATGCCTTCAAAGTGCGTCAAAACTTTGACGCAAGAAGTTTAACGCCTTTTTAACGGGAGAGAGGGGCGGTGTTTAACGCCCCCCAGGTGGCCATAATGCCGAGGAGCGTTAAGGGTAGTACCAGTGCTCTTATACGCAACAATAGTGAAGAATACATACCATCATGTCATTCACCTAGGCCCGTTCTTGATATGTTCTCCATTATTTGATGCAAATAGATGCAGGGCCCCACTCCTTCAACTCTCTAGCCTGACTCTCTTGCTTATGGACTAGAGCACGGTAGATACTTCCCACTCTTCTCATCATGATACAGCCCTGCCCGGCAGCCTGCCAGACCATATATGCTCGGCTATGGACGGCAGAAGAATGGATCACGAAGGAATTCCCTCCCTCATCATGGTCTGAAGGAAAAGCCGATACTGCCCAGTTGCTCAGGCTAGCCCAGTCGACGGTGAAAACAGCTTCTTTCGGTCGGTAGCATCGCGTAGCAGGTCGGGCTGACCACAAAGTTGCTGAAGAGACCACAACCGTCGTATCCTCCAAGATGTCGAGTTCATGCCCATCCACTGATGGTATTTCAAAGACGAGGTCAGACCAGCTTGGGATGACCATGAGCAGATTGGAAAGCCGCGCAGAGCACTTATGATTATCATGTGTCCAATCCAATGAAGGATCGGCTTTCGACAAGCCTTCGTCTGCCGATCAGAGACTTCAATTGACCGTCTCACCATCATCTGTTCTTCGATTAGAAGCATCAATTGGCCAAATTATTCTGAATCATCAACTTATCCTTCGCCGCCAATTAGAACAGAATATCCGGAAACTGGAAAGGAGTAGGGAACGGATTGCAGGAATAGCCGCTGACCCGTCGCCGGTGGAAAGAGTTCCGTCCGAGTCTGGTCGTGATTTCGAGTGGCTCCGTCCATATTGGGATTTGTTGATGGCATCTTTTGGGCCTGCGATCCTGAGGCCACTAGCTACCATCCAAGTTTTAGATATGCAATCTGCTTTGTGAGGACACGAACGGACTAGGGCTTCGCAGTCAGTGCTTAGTGATGTTCTGTGAAGGGTTCGTCTAGTACTCCAGACCTGAGAGCGACGCTGTACTCCGGCACCAATGACCCCGTTAGGCGAGTTGAGAGCGACCCTGTACTTGGTGGTGAGAGAATTGTTGGGGGGAGAAGCAACAAGTAAGATACAACACCTACAAGGATCAACTTCAAGACAACCAACCAAACACTTAACCCAATTCACCACAATTGATTAACCAAGCACACAAAATCAACAGCACATCAAATAAACCACAATCAAATATGAAGAATAAAGATGCAAACGACACACGATTTTTATACGTGGAAAACTCCTTCGATGTGAAGGATAAAAACCACTGGACTTATAGAGAGTCCGCCCTCTTCTTCTCTTATTATGCAAATTGAGGGTAAAAACACCCAAACTCAGTCTACAAGGATGTCACAGCCCACCAACAACAACATACATAAGAGGCATCAACAATAGAGAAGGAAAATCAGGATTATCACCCAAAAACGCAGCGTCGCACCAGCTGCAATTACAGAAGATCCGTAGCTCCGATTGAAATGAAAATTGAACAGATTGAAGCCCTAAGTGTTGGGAACAACCTCTGAAAATTTCAGCTCAATCCAACGGTCGGATCTTCGGTGATGATTGGATTTGTGCGGCTGGTCTGAAAATTCTGCACCAGCCCTTCTCGCTCTCTCTATTCTGTTTTTTTTTTTCTCTGTTTGCTCTCTCTTCTCTGTTCGTAAGCACTGCCACTGCCCAGCCCTTTTACTCTCCTTTTTGTTAGTCAACAAAGTAAAAACATAATTGGACCCTCCACCAAAGAAAAATGGAACCCAAACAAAATGGGCTGGACCCACAACAAGAATGGGGTCGGCCGTTGCAGTCTTCCGCATCCAACGGTGGCAACTGGTGACCACTTTCTTTACAGTGGATCAAGGAAATCCACGGTTTCTTCAGTGGATCAATGAAATCCATTTTTTGTGAATTCCCCACTTCGCCAAAAGAAACCAATCGTTTCTCCCCTTTCTTTCTTGTAAAAAATCATGAGCAGGGGAAAGGTGCATCTGTGAAAATCACTCAAGTGAAGAGGGGAGGGAAAAGGCTGGAATGCAGACACCTACAGCTAGGGGTGGACACGGTACCGGTACGGTACCGTCACCGGCAACGGTACCGCCGGTACCCGCCACCGTCACCGGCAAGGTCGCCGTGTCACCGGTTCCGGGAACCGGTACCGGTACCGCCACTTTCGGTACCGGTTCCGGTACCTATTTTTTGGTACCGGTACAGGCGGTACCGGTCCGGTTCCGGTACCGATTAATTTTTTTTTTTT